ACAACTAATTCAGACTAGGCTGTGAATGGCTATTACAGCTAACCCCAGCATTTCTCACCTAAGTTCCTCAGATCATTTATCAAGCAAGATGCTCCACCAAAAAAAAAAAAAAAAGATAATAGTTGTGTTGTCAAATAAGTTTGGGAAACTCTGAATACTCTATTCTCCCTTCCAGAGACTCATAATATAAACTATTGCAGCCTCTGAGAAGTCCTGCAGTTTTGACATCAACAATACCCAAACCCATTGAACACAATTTTTTTTCAAGAAACAAAGTAACAATATCTGCAAAACAATCTGTGGTAAATTCTAGCTGAGGAGCCATGGAGGTATGAGGGTAACATCTGTACCCCCCAACCTGAATATAAATCCCTCAAGGGAAGGGATCTTTATCTGTTGTGTTCCCTGTTAGATCCTCAGCACCTGTAATAGTGTCGGGTACATAGTAGACATTTTATAAATGTTTGTCAGATGGATGGATGGATGGATGGATGGATGGATGGATGGATGGATGGGGCTGAGTTGGAGAATGTCAGCAGGTCCATGTTCTAATCCTGGTTTTGCCTCTAACTCACTGTATGTCCCTGGGCAAGTCCCCATCCCTCCCTAGGTTTCCTGGATGTAAAAAAGACCTCAGACCATTCTCAATGGGTGCGAAGTGCCCCCAAGTAGGAAATTTGGTTCTTGGGGAGAAAAAAACAAAACATCTTACTCTTTTTATGTAGTACAAACCACAGACAGACAGACAGAAATACACCTTACAACGTGGTATTTCAGCTGCATGGAGGCGGCAATGCAGAAAAGAATATCTGGAAAGACTCCTTGGAGAGAAGGCAATAATGAAGAAAAGGTTGAGAGACACTAGACTTGGTCCAGAAGGTTCCCTTCTGGTCTGACCACCTATAAACCTTTGACTCTAAATGAGAGGTTTCGTGGGAAATGTCTGAGGGAATAGGAAGAGCAGGAACCAAAAACCTCAGGTACAAATAAACCTGGTGCAATGCACTGAAATATTTCCTCCCAAATTCACATGTTGAAGTCCCAACCCCCAGTACCTCAAAATATAATGGCATTTGGAGACGGTCTTCAAAGACATAATTAAGTTAGGCCATTAGTGTGGGGCCTTAACCCTATAGAACTGGAGTCCTTATTAAAAGGAAGAGGCAACAGAGGCCCCCGGAAAGGCCATGTGGGGACACAGTGAGAAGGTGCCCTCTGCAAGCCAAGGAGAGAGGTCTCACCAGAAACCAACCCCGCCGGCACTTTGACCGTGAACTTCCAGCCTCCAAAACTGTGGGAAGAAAAAAAAAATGTCTGTTGTTTAAGCCATCCAGTGTGGTATTTTGTTTTGGCAAACAGAAAAACTCTTGACAAGTGGGGGTTTTTTTTGTTGTTGTTTTTTAATTTCCTTTATTGATTTTTAGAGAGAGGAAGTGAGGGAGAGATAGAAACATCGATGAGAGAGAACATCGACTGACCGCCTCCTGCGTGCCCCTGACTGGGGATCAGGCCCACGACCTGGGCATGTGTCCTGACTGGGAATTGAACTGGCGACCTCTTGGTGCAAGGGTCAAAGCTCAACCACTGAGCCACACTGGCTGGACGGCACGTATTTGTTTTTCTTAATCCTCACCCAAGGATATGTTTATTGGTTTTGAGAGAGAGGTTGCCTCCCATACTCGCCCTAACCAGGTATTAAACCTGCAACCTAGGTATGTGCCCTGAGCAGGAATCGAACCAGCGGCCTTTCGGTATATGGGACAGTGCTCCAATCGACTGAGCCACCGGCCAGGGCACTCCGGGCACGTGTTAAGGAGCAGTCACTACCGGGACGTGAGGTCAGAGGCCGTGGTGGAGGCAGACGATGGCCAGCCTCACAGGACTAGGGAAAATATTTTGGTTTGTTTCTTGGAGAGGGATGGAAAGCGTGGGCAGGTTTTGAGCAGAGGAGTGACGAGATCCTCCTTACACTGTCACCAGGACGCTCTGGCGGCTGAGTGAAGAACCACTTATTCCCGGGCGAGATGGAAGCAGAGACTGAGGAGGGAGAGGGATGGGCTGGCTCGGACCCGAGCGCAGCGACGGGCACGGTGATGGTGACTGCATCCTGGTCCGTCTGGAAGGCCGGCCAGCAGAATGTGCCAGTGGCTGGGTGGTGGGTGTGAGAGAGAGGATTTATGGGTTATTCCCAAAGTCGGCCGGCACCGTGGCAAAGCGTGCTTGGTGCTTGCGAGCTGAGTGGATGCTCGGAGGTGGGCTGCCGGGGGCAGGCAGCTGGATATCCAGGGTTGGGGCTCAGAGGGGAGGTTGGAGGTGAGAAGGTACCAGGCAGAACCGGCATCTCCCACCAGCCGTCCCAGGTCCGTTCCCCTCTCTCTCAGCCCTGCACCCCACACTTCCCCCATCACAGCTCCTATCACAGGTATTGCCACCCACGACAGACTGTCTGCCTTCCCCACCCACTGCGGTGAGGGAGAGGACCCGATGTGTCTGGCTTACCATCCCCCGGGGCCTGGTGCGCAGTAGCTCCCAGGCCGATGATCATCGGAATGAACGGGGTGATACAACGAGGGGTTAAAAACGAAGCGCAAATGTTCCTAACCACATCCCTCCCTTTCCTGAGCCAGATAATGTTATCTTTCCCAGCAGTCTGTTCAGAACCCCACCTCTTCCTTTCTCGATAAGACTCAGTTATGGTAGAGGAAGGTAGTGCGGGGAGGGCCAGATGGCTCGTGATTGTTAAAGATAATCTATATAATAAAGAACCCGGAGAGGGTAAGGAGAGAGAGAGAATGAATGAATATGATCTCCCCACGCAGGCAGCAAGTGGAATGGAAATCTATTTCTTTGTTTCAAAGACTTTCTTTGGAGGGTGGAGGGTGGAGGGTACTAAATGAGACCCCTGGGTGTGAGAGAGAGAGAGGGTCGGGGAGAAAAGGAATACAAGTGTTTTCCTAGGGGAGAGCCCTAGGTCTCTCCATGCATGGCTTTTAAAAACACAATCTAGGAACAATTTTATTTGGAAAACAGAAATCATAAATATAGGGGCATCGAATAACAGAGCATCGGACTCCTAAAGGGAGAAATCAGGATGAGAAATGGACAAAACAGAAAGAAACAGATACATCCAAACCACAGTAGGAGACATTAGCATCCCTTTCTTGGTAACTGATAAAGAATCAGCAAAGATGTAGAAATATCTCACCAACATTGTCAACCAACTTGACCTAATCAACATTTATAGAACACTATACCCAATATCTGCATAATTTAAATAATTTGCAAGTCTATAAAAAATAGACGATCTATGCCGTGGTCAGTGTTCACTTGGTTGGGGCGTTCTCTCATACACCAAAAGGCTGGGGGTTCAATTTCTGGGCAGGGTACATACCCAGGTTGCAGATTCGTTCCCAGCTGGGGCGTGTACAGGAGGCAGCCAGTTGATGTTTCTCTCCCACATCAATGTTTCTCTCTCTAAAAATCAATAAAAACATATCCTTGGGTGAAGATTTAAAAAAATAGACCAAATCCTGGGCCATGAAATAAGTCTCAAATCATTCCAGATTACTGACATCTTGAGTCTGTTCTCTGACCACAATGGACTGGAAAAACAAATCAATAACAATAAAATCTCTAGGAAAACCCCAAGTACTTAGATAACATATCTTAACCCATGGGTCAAAGAAAAAAATTCCAGGGGAAACCAGAAAATATCAAACTGTATGGTAATGGAAACACATCCAATTATAATCTGTGGGACGCACTAACGAAGTGCTAGTCATAAATGACTGGGGGGCGGGGAGCTAACTTAGTGACTCAAGAGTCTGCCTTTAAAAGCTAGAGAAACAGCCCTGGCCAGTTTGGCTCAGCGGTTAGAGCGTGGGCCTGCGGTCCAGAGAGACCCGGGTTCGGTTCCCGCTAAGGGCACGTACCTCAGTTGCAGTTTGTCCCCGGCCCTGGTTGGGTTGTGCGGGTGGCAGCCACTCCATGTGTCCCTTTCATGTCAATGTTTCTCTCTCTCTCTCTTTCCCTCCCACAATAGAAAAATGTCCTCGGGTGAGGATTAAAAAAAAGCTAGAGAAACAAGGCCCCGGCTGTGTATCTTAGTGGTTAGAGCTTCATCTCAATACACCAGGGTTGTGGGTTTGATCCCTGGTCAAGGCACATACACGAATCAACCAATGGCCCAGCCAGTATGGCTCAGTGGATCGAGCCTCGTCCCATGGACTGAGAGGTCCCGGTTCGATTCCCGGTCAGGGCACATGCCCCGTTTGCAGGCTCCATCCCTAGTGAGGGACGCGCAGGAGGCAGCTGATTGATGTTTCTCTCTCACATCGATGTTTCTTTCTCTCTCTCTCTAAAAAACAATCAATAAAAACATATTTAAAATAATTGTTTAATTAACGAATGAATGCATCAATCAGTGGCACAACAGATCAGTGTTTCTCTTCCTCTTCCTCTTCCTCTAAAAATCAATCCATCAATAAAAATAAACTAGTAAAAACAAAACATAAAGTAAACCCAGAGTAAACAGAAAGAAAAATATACTAAAGATCAAAACTCAGTGAACTAAAACACAGACACATAATAGAGGAAATTAACAACGCTAAAAACTGGGCCTTTAAGAGGATTAATAGCATTGAGGAGCACACGCTAACACTGGACCTTTTCGTATTACTTTTATTACTGTTAGTTCTTTGTGCTGACGGCGCACGCGTGAGCTGGCGCACGGGTGCTGGGCTCGCTGAGCTGGGGCGGGGGCGGGGGCAGAGAGAAGGGCAGGTGGCAGCCTCCGCAGCTCCTGTCCCAGACAAGCACAGGTTCACCGCTGGGCCTGCTGCTCACTGCTGGATCCTGCGGACACTCTGCACCTGGAAGGTCTGGGCATGAGAGCCCCACTCCCGGAAATGCTTGTAGTCGCCCGAGTGGTGATCACACTCCAGCACGTACTGAAAACCCCGGTAGCCCGGGAACTGGGAACAAACCCAGCTGGGGAAGGGAAGGGAGAGACTGTTACCTAAGAGAGGCACCAGCGTGGTGATGGACACAAGGACAGAGAGGCCCACGCTGCAAACATTCCAGCCATCGTGGCCTGCCTTCAGTGCCCAGCATGTGCCCTTCATCATGCCGTGCCCTCTTCCCGGAACACCGTTCTAGCCATTTTTGCTCAGCCAATTCTATTTGTCATTCAGGTCTCAGCTCAATTATCACTTCATCAGGGTGGTCTGAGCTGTTCCCCCAATTAGGCCATAGTCCCTTATTGTACCTTTGGAGACTTCATGTAATTAGGTAATTAACAGATTATTTGTAAAATGTCCTCCTCCTCAACATGCAGTAAGCGCCTGGGTACAGGGATGTGTGCGCCTGGTTCATTGTTCTTTCCAGCGCCCAACACAGTGCCTGGCAGAGAGGAGGGGCTCAGTAAATGCTGGGTGGATGGATGGATGGATGGATGGATGGATGGATAGATGGTGGATGGATGGATGGATGGATGGATGGATGGATGGATGGAGTCCTATTCTTTCCTGCTCCTAACCTGAGGCACTTCCAAGAAAAATGCGATTGTTCTTTCGGTTCATTGGCCCCTGTGCTGTCCAGGACTGGACAAAAATTGCTATCTCATTTTTCTATCTTCCATTTCCCTTTCTGTAAGAGGGACGTAGACTCAAGAATCACGAGAGGTCCGGTCTACTCTGAAACAACGTAATTCTCCGGTGATGTCTGAAAAAATTGAAAAACAAAAGCCCTCCCTCACTTACCTCCCACCGTCACCCCTGCCTACCAGGAGCCAAAGGGCACCTCAGAAGATGGCTCAAAGGCACTCCCTGTCTGGGGACCTCACATCCCAGCCTTCACCTGCCATCTCCTATGTGAAAAGGGTGGGAAGGGTCACTCAGTTCTGGGCTTGAAGCTGGATTCAGTCACCCACCTGCTGTTGGACTTGGACTAAGCTGGGTGACCCACCTCTGGGTTATGGCTGGCCATGCACTCGGCTCTTCTGGTGACAGACCCTGTCAGCCTCCCCCTCTCAGTCAATGTGGGAAAGTGCTCACTCTAGCTGTGAGCATGTGACCAGGCCTAGCCAATCAGAGCACCCTATGACTGTGAGCATGGTGATTTGTTCAGAGCTGAACACATGACCGAAGTTGGACCAGTAAGAGCCTGTCCTAGAACCTTTGGTAGAATCACTGAGAAAGAGACACTTTCTCTGGGGCTGGATGAAAGGTAAGGATGAAACTGCCATCTTGCCTTCACATAGTAAGAACTTGCCTGAGAAGATAGCCACAGAGTCGGGCAAAGCGAGAAGGGGACAAAGATCCCTGCTGAAGCACCTGGATCCAGCTGTGCCTGAAGCTAATTACAGGAACTAGTAAATATCCTTTGGTCTTGATGTCAGTTTGATCTGGGTGCCCATTGTTTGCAGTCCCAGAAATTCTGCCTGATACCTCCCTGTGGTTCAGTGTTTTCCTCTGGAATGTGGACATCACAGCCCCAAAGTCCCCAGCACGTGGTTGTCAAAGGAGGTGTCCCTAATCCTCCCACATCCTCCCTTTCCCTGCCAGAGCTTGGGATCCACTTACGCCCCCGATTGGACGTGGAAGGAGCCCACTTCCTTGCCATCCCATCCCATGGCCTGGAGGGAGGGATAGTCATCACTCAGCTCTCCTCTTCTGCCCAGGAAGTTCTCTTGCTCGAAGATGGTCAGCCTCGAATCTCGGTGGTTCTGCACACACAGGGAACAGGGTCAGACCACAGGTGCACAGGAGCCTGCTGCCCACCCCTGCCCCGCCCTTGCTTCCAAATCAGTCTTTCTTGCAAACTGCTGGAAGGGCAATAAGGCAACAGGCACTAGAAACCTTACAAGAGGTATTCCATTTGCCCTTCCAGAAATTTGCACAAAAATAATCATGGAACAAATATAAGACTTGGTGATAATAGATGGGAGGAAGGGAGGGAGGAAGGAAAAGGAAAAGGAAAGAAAAGAAAAGAAAAAGACTCAACTTGAATGTCCAACGACAGGGACCAGGAGGTAAACTGGTGTACTGTGCCACGTTAGAGAAGGGCACAGAGATCTGGGTTCGAATCCTGCTCTCCACTGACCAGCTGACTGAGCTTAGGTGTGTCACCCAGCATCTCTGCACCTGATTCCAAATCCATAAAATAAAACTAACTACATCTGCTTTTCAGGGTTGTCCTGAGGAGTAAATGAAACCCCAAGGCATGAACTGTGTGAAGTCAGGGTTTGCATGTGTCTGTCCACGGTGGGTCCCCGTACTGGCCCAAGCCTGGGCCGTCTGTGTAACAGATGAACAAATGACCCTATTCACAAAATGAAATTCTAGGGAGCTATGGAAATGATGTTGTAAATTAGATTTAATCACCTGGGAGGTTCACTGTGATATATTTGCCCAGTGAGAGAAGCGGGTTTCCAAGCCTTTGGTTTGTCGTGATTTAATTTTTATAACAAAATGATATGTGTGTGTAGCTACATCTCTATATATCTACCTCAGAGGTGTGGGTATGAGTGGTTTTTATTTTTTTATTCTGCCATAGCAGGGTTTTCCCTAAATTTTAGATGATTAATATGTGTGCCTTGTGTGATTTTAAATTATTAAAAGTTGCTTTTGAAGAAAAAAAAAAATACACCTTTCAGAGCCTCAGTTTTTTGTTGTTTTTTTCCCCTCTCCTCACCCAAGAACATTTTCCCACTTTTGTTCAGATAGGGTGGGAGGGAGAGAGAGGAAGAGAGACAGACAGAGAGAAACATTGGTGTGAAAGGGACACATTGAGTGGCCGCCTCCTGCAGGACCCCAACCAGGGCTGGGGACAAATCGCAACCGAGGTATGTGCCCTTGACGGGAATCAAACCCGCAACTCATTGGTCCGTGGGCCGACGTTCTAACCACTGAGCAAAAACGGCCAGGGCGAGCCTCAGTTTTGTTTTGTTTTTTTTCATCTGGAAGATGAGGATACTAATGCCCGCCTCCATCCATACCCCATAAACAGCACTGATCATGAACCGGGAACAGGACATAGAAGCCTTCCCCTACCTCGCCTGCCATCTCTGGCTCCCCACCCCACCCCCACCCCCCATCCCTGAGTCACAGAGCAGACGCCAAGCACACCGGGCGCTGCTCTTCTCATAACCAAAGTGGTGATGGGTGGAATGTGTGTGGCGGCCTCTGGCCAGATGCTAAACATTCTTCTTCCCCACAACATAAGTACTAGGGCCCCATTGCAAGATTTTCAACAAAGAACGAGGCTCAGAGAGGGGAGGGCTGCCGCGTCCCGCAGCTTGAAGAAGTGACATGAGAAACTGAACTCTGGGGCATCCGGTTCCCAAGCTCCCCCTGGAAGGGCTCGGCCCGTAGGAGGAGGCGATAACAGGACTCACAGCACAGGCCACAGGCCGGAAGGAGGTGAGCCTCTGGGCAGGGTAGGCCGTGTTGCCGCTCCAGGCGTCCCAGCACGGGTACTGGCCCCGCTCCAGCACGTACTGCTGCCCTTGGAAGCCAGCATGCTCAAAGCCCACCCACCTGCGGGCAGAGGGCAGAGTGCAAGGGATCAGAGACCCCTCACCCTGAGTTCTAGACCGACGGCGACCATGCAGGGTGACTCTGCCCCCCAGGGAGGCATTCAACAAAGTCTGGAGACATTTTTAGTTGTGATACCGGGAGGAGCGGGGGAGAGGGTGTTTGCAAATGGCATTTAGTGGATCCCAGGACAGCCCCATCAAAACAAAGAATTATCCTGCTCCAGCTGTCCATCGCCCGAGGTGGAGAAACCAAGCTGAGACCTAGCAGCCCATGGACTTGCCATGTGTTCCATTGGTAAGGAAACTGCTCCACACAGCTGCCTGGCAACCTGGCGGTGTCCCTCTAGGCCAGGTGGGCAGGCTCGACCCAGGCTAATCCCAGCCTTGGTGGGATTCCACGCGAGCCTCCAGGACCATGAGAGGGCAGTCTTGCAAGGAGCTGCCGGACCGGGTCTCACCCACGTCCCTCCCCTGAGGAAGGCTTCCTGAGGCAGTGCCTCTGGTTCCCTTGAGATAAGGGACTCTCCACCTCGCCACCCCGAGGGCACAGCACCGCCGATAGCTGAAGCATGGAATGGCCCCTGGCAGCAGGGTACCCACCATTCTTGCTGTCCTATGGCCCCTGTTGCTTTGGTGCCATCCTATGGGACAAGGCACACAGGAGGCTAACGCCAGGCTGGCCTTGCACTTGCTGTCTGTATAAGTAACGCATCGTCCGAGTCCACCTGAGCTTGTTGTCTCCTTTCTGGCCCACTCTGTTGGCTGCTGGACATACCCCTGCACAGGTCACTGTTCCCACCTGAGCCCCAGTCCCCACCTGCATGAAGCGGGAGCTAACAGAATGTTTACCATGATGTGACATGCACTAACGCCACTCAAGATGACCTTCGGTGGCATCCACTGGCCTAGCATGAAATGACTCCGGGTCACATGGAGAGAACACGTTCTCCTTCCAACCTACTCTCCAACCTTCTAGAAACTTCGGACCAATATGGTAGCCATTAACCCCATGTTGCCAATCAAACTTTAACTTAAACATTAAATTCCAAAGAAAATCAAAACTTCGGGACTTCAGTCACCCTAGCTGCATTTCAAACCCTCCGCGGCCACATGTGGCCCGTGGTCCCCAACCCGACAGTGCAGAGGCACATTTTCATCACTTGCAGAAGGTTCTACGCAAGGGTGCTGATCTAGAAAGTCAGTACCTGCCGACTTTCTGTGTTCTAAACACCTTCCTACACCTCATCAATCTCTCAAAATATCCTATCGCTCAGAGCTTCACCCAAACAACAATGTTCAACTAAAGATGAACAGCATTCCTTTGACGGTATTTTTATAGTTACCTTCTATTTTAGGCGAGTGATGTTGCTTTTAGATTTATGCCCAAAGTGGGCATTCAGGGCCGCCCTCCACCCTCCAGGCCAGCCCTGGCAGTGTCGTCGGGCAGTGGGCAGGATCGTGGGAACATCTCGGGCAGTGGGCAGGATCGTGGGAACATCTCGGGCAGTGGGAAGGATCGTGGGAACATCTCGGGCAGTGGGCAGGATCGTGGGAACATCTCGGGCAGTGGGCAGGATCGTGGGCCCGCGTACAACCTACATTACCTTCCACCGCAGACCTGGTGCTCCACAGCCTGCAGACCCACCGGGAAGTCAGAGCCTGGGAACAGAGGCCTGAAACGTCTAACAGTCCCGGTCCCCCTCTCTAGATCCCCTCCTGCCTCCCCTCCCCCTCCGGGCTCAGATTTCCCCGGACTCACGCTCCACTCAGCACGGTCAGAGACCGCACGGTCTCGAAGCCCAGTTCCAGCACGCTGGGGCACTCGGCCGCGAGCTCGTGCCGCCGGCCCTGGAAGCCCTCCTCGTCCCACACCACGATCTAGGACAGCGGGAAGGTGGAGCCCGGGTCAGTCCCCTGGGGCCGGGAGGTTAGGGGCTTGCCCGGGACTCGGGCTGGGCGGGATAGACAGAGCGGGATTGCAAGCTCAGCCGCCTCCAGCAGCCAGGCAGGCAGAAGGGGGAGGGATGGAGGGATGCGGAGCGCTCACGCCCTGTGGAAATGGCTGCTCTGCACAGCGCCACCTATGGTTGCTATGTGGGAATGCGGGCCGACTTGGGATTTCTGAAGACAATCACTCAATCTGGACTTTTCTATGGACCCTCCAGAATTTTAAAAGTAGATGACAAATTTAAGATTGTTTTTTTTTAAACACACAGAATGCCAAAGACTTTGCAATCACCAGTTTGCCATCTCTGGCAGGGTGTAATGGTTAAATTTGGGGACCAGAAGACCTAAGTTCAAGGCCCTGTGTGTGACCTTGGCCAACTCCCTTCTTCTCTTTGAGCATTGACTCCATCCTCTGTGAAAGGGCCCTCGCAACACCCCCCACCCCGAGGTGAAGTGGAGATTCAATGGAGGTGGGATGGAGGGTGTCCTGCACCTGGGTTTGCCCTGCCCCCCCCCCCCCCCCCCACTTCCCAGGCGTTCCCATGCCTCTTCCTACCTTCCAGTGTCCCGCCGACTTGGTGCATTGCAAGGTCATGTTGCCCTCTTCCTACACAAGAGAAAACATGGTAACCTTAGCCCCGATTCTGCTGTCTTCCTGGACAGTGACTTCTAGAGTAAGAGGGATCGGGGTCCAGATGGCGTCTGGATGTGCCCGCGCTAGGGGCAAAGCGCAGCTTTGGGCTGTCCCTCTCCCTCCCTTTCCATCTGCGACCAACGCCATTGCCTGTGCTTCCTTCCTATCACCATCTGGGAACTCATCCACTCGGGGTGCCGTTGCCTCTGAGCCCCGATCAGTGCTGCTTTATCTGCTCACTATGGGGAAATGGCTGTGGCCGGCAGGGGGTGAATGCATCGCCCTGGCAAGTGCCAAGGTGCCCAGTTTAAGAGAGCCTCCCAAAGACAGCGCCTGACCCAAACAGGTGACTCGAATGTGGAAATTGAAGCAATGACTACAGGAATAATTTTGTCTTTAAGCGAGGGCCGCAGGTACTAGTCTTGATGTCTGGAGCCTGGCCTGGGTTAGGATGAGGAAGACATGCAGGAGGACAAAGTGATGTCTCCAGCATTGGGGACCTGGGCTCCCCTTCCTCCCAGGAAAGTCACTCAGAGCTTGGATCCCACCCCTTCTCCAAGCCTGGGACTTACCTCGACGGACCCACAGAACACACCGGACCTGGGACCAGCCGGGGTCAGGCTCTTATAGGCAGGGAGGGAAGAGGGCCTCTGGGAGACAAAGCCCCGACTCAGCAAGTGAGCCTCGGGAACAAAAGGCAGCCCTGGCTGGAGCCCCACTGGAAAGATGTCAGCACCACTGGCTTCAGCTGGGAGGGAAAGGGGCAGGTGGCCTCCCTCAGGGGTCAGCCACAAAGAAGGCAAGAGGAGGAAGGTCAGCCTTAATCAGCTCCACGGACCCCGACTGGAGCAGGAGAATGAGCACTGGACAAGGAGTCCATAAACCTGGTCCTTCCTAGCAGTGTGACCTGCAGCAGGTCATTCCTCCTCAATTTCTGCCTATAAAATGAGACAAGAATAAAGTACATCACTGGGATGTTGTGATGTTATATCACATGCCTGGCACAGAATAAACATTCAACAAATGCCTACACCTTTCCCCTTCCTCTTTCAACTGGGGCAATCAGGGTAGGCTTCCTGTTGGAGGTGACATTTAAACTACACTCGGAGGGTGAGGAGGATTTGTATAAAGTGAGTCGGAAGAAAATACTTTCCTAAGCAAAAGTGCAGAGGTGGGAACTTGGGACATGTGTACGAGAAGAGGCTGGTAGCCGGATGGACAGGAGCTCAGGGACCCTGAAGGGGAACAAAGGCAGCAAGGCAGGAAAGGTGGGCTGGGCCAAGGCCTCCAGCGTCTGCAACGCCCAAAGAGAAGTTCAGATGGCTCTGTGGGCTGAATAAAGAAGGTGGTGGGTGCGAACATGCTTTGCAAACTCTAGCACACTTGCCAAATAGCCAGGGTTCGTAGCATTGGTGTTGTGCACCTTCTTCCCACACTCTCACCTTCTGATTTGACCTGCAAGAGGCCCTCACTGCATAGGAAAGAGCATGGCAGAGACCAGACCACTCTGGGGGAAATCCAGTCCTGCCTCTGAACAGCTGGGTGGCTGGAGGATGTCTGATCTCAGCCCGTGGCCTGTAAAGTGGCAACATCTGTCCCTCTGGGAGGGCTACATTAAAAGCAGCCCCATCAAATGCATGTCTTTGATGTAGGGTTGCCGCCAAGATAAAAGGCTAAGAATGCAGCCTCTGCAGCCAGACTGCCTGGGTTTGCATCGCACTCTTGCTGGCTGGATAACCTTGAGCGCGTTACTTAATCTCTCTGAGCCTCAGTTTCCTCATGTGCAAAATGGGTGCAAGTAAATCGGTTTAGCCTAAGAGAAAAGGGTATAGCGAGGGAAACGTGGATTACACGTGAGCAGCACTTGGAACATCAAAGGCATTCGGTGCCTCCATCATCACCGTCATCATCATTGCGAATAATAAACGTGATTACAATTAAGTCCTCGTTCATATGAAACCAGGAGTGTGTCGTTGTAAGAGCTTCGTTCCAGGCGTTAAAAAGATGTGACTTCCCCGTTCCGTTTTACAGACGAGCAAACAGGCTGAGAAAGCGAAAGGCAGCTGCCTAGGTTCCCTTGTCTGCCAATAGGCTTGATCCCAGGGACCCACCATCACAGTGAGGGTTACAGGAGCCAAGGCAGCAAAGTGCTCAGAGTGGAGCCACTCAGCATGGGGGGCCACCCCCCACCTCTGCGCCCACCCTTTGGCAGGCAGCCCCGGAGACAGGGAACTGCCCCAGACAGCCTGGCCTGGCAGCCCAGACCTGTGGGTGGCCCCCCACCACCCGTGCGTCTTGGCCCCATTCCAGTGGTTGTCCCATCCTGTGGTTCCTGCCTGCCTCCCAGGCCTTGGCCTAAGATGAAAGACTGAGGAAGCACCTGGGAATTGAGGGGGTGCTGGGTAGGGTGGAGGGGCAGAAAACAGAGCTGGCCCGAGCACAGTGATCTCAAGGCACAGCTGGCCTCCAAGGGGAATCCGGGTCCCTGGACCTCTGTAGAAGAGGCAGGAACCTGAGCAAACCCCTTCTCCCCCAAGCCCACCTGGACAGTTGTCTGGGTCCCATCTACCCCAGCTCTACTGAATTCACACCATGTGACCGTGTGAAGTCACTAGTTCTACCTGGGCTCAGTTTCTCCATTTGTGAAATGAGGGAATTGGACCAGGACCTCTGGTGTCTGTTCCACTGTTCTGAGTCTACTGCTCTGTTGTGTCTGTCTCTCTGTCTCTCCCCGTCTCTCTCCTTCACTGTCTGCTCCCTCCCCTGCCCCACGCCCCACCCCGTATTTCTGTCTCCATCGCCTTTCTTTGTCGTTCTCCACTTCTAATCAGTGTCCCCATTTCCTCTCCCCGTCTCAGTTCTCCTGTCTCCCCCTGGACCCCACCTTTCATTATGATCCACTGTGACCACTCTGCCCCCCAGTATTGATCAAGGTCCCATTCTGTGCCAGGCCGTGTGCTAGGTACTGGACCCCCGGGGTGGACAAAGTGCGGTGGCATTGAGGGCCTCCAGAGGAAGCTCGAGCTGGGCAGTCATATTCCTGGCCACCAGCTCTGTCCTGGAGCCAAATGATGGGGACAGGGTCTACAGGTGGGACAGGAAAAAGTGAGGGGAGGAATCTGGGGCCAATGTGAGCAAAGGAACAGGACCCAGGCTTTAAATATTTAACCCACTGAGCACAGGGAGATCCCCTAGCCTCTGTATCTAAAAGCAAGACAATTGCCTTGGTCGGTTTTGCTCAGTGGTTAGAATGTCAGCCCGCGGACTGGAGAGTCCCGGGTTTGGTTCCCATTAAGGGCACGTAACTTGGTTGAAGATAAATGCAAAAATGTCCTTGGGTGAGGATAAAAATAAATAAATAAATAAATAAATAAACAAATAAATAAATAAATAAATAAGCAAGCAAGAAATCAAGCCAGGGCCAAAGTCAAACATCAGGAGAATGAAGCATACAGGCCCCCTCGTCTGGGCCAGTTCCTGGCTCTGCCCTCTCTGTGCTCTAGCTTCGCTCATCTGTGAAGTGGGTGTAATGAAAGTACGAAATAAGGTGGTTGTCCTGGGGACTGACCACGATGGCAAGGGTAAGGCACTTGGTGCCGCGCTGAGCACCCAGTAAGTGGGGCTGTGCACGTTGTACCCGCAGCTGCCTTTACAGAGCATCTTCCCATCTCCTTCGCGCATCATCACCTTCTTTCCTGCCCAGCATCCGGCGGGAACACTGTCTGCTCGGAACCGCAGTCAGAGGCCCTGGAGAACAGACACCTGCCAAAAGCCACGTGGCACGCAGTGGCTGAGCCAGGACTCAAATCCAGGTTTCCCACCTTCCAGGGGCCCCCCTTTTCCCGGCCCAGGATTGGCAGCCGGCGGGGACCCCATGGCCCCACCCGGGCTGGGGGGTAGAGTGAGGCTTCAGGGCAGAACCAGGCGTGTGTGCTGTGCACGCTGGGCTCACAATGAAAAGTGCTTCTCTCTGCAGTAACCCAGGCGAGGCTGTAGCCTCTGGGCCCCCAACTCCACGCCCGGCGCTTGCTGAGCTAGCTGCCTCTTTGTGCCCCAGACCATAGGGCTGCTGTCTGCCAGACTATAAAATGGGGGGTCGGCCCCGAATTGCCCACAGCACCCACCCGCCCAGCTGCCTGTCCTCGAGCAGGAAGTAGCAGGTCCCCAGGTAAGAGAGCACCCACCACACCCCTAGCAGCTGAAGGGGAGGGGAGAAGAGAGAGGAGTCAGAGAGTGGCCGAGGCAGAGAGATCGGCCAGAGAGAGAGAGAGCAATTAAGGGAAGGGGCAAGACGGAGGGAGGAGAAGAGAGAGAAGAAAATACATTAATAAAGAACAGACAGAGGGCTAGGCAGAAATACAAAGAAAGCAAGATACTGGAGGAGAAGGAAACAAAGAAAGGGGCGGAGGGTAGAAAATGAACAGGAATATATCTCCAGGAAGGAATGAGTCCAACTACCAGCCCAGGGGAGTGTTGATTCATAGATGACACAGGAGAGTAAGCAAGAGCCTGGAAGCCACAGATGTGGCCCAGATGTGGCCAGCCCACGGTGGGCAGTGCACCCCAGAGTAACAGCAGGCTTTCTCAGGGCAGACGGGGCGGGGGGTGGGCAGATCTGCAATCCACTGGAGCACAAGGTCTGAATATGTGTCATCAGGGGGTCCTCAAATCCCTGGAAATTGTCTCTTTTTTTGCCCTGGGGACAAAGCCAAGGCGTTTGTCAAACACTCAAAGGCATCCCCGACCCCAAAGCAACAAGGAACCACTGAAACTGACCAGAGGGCTCTCCACCCAACGCCTACACAGCCACAGCCCTCATTTAGAACCCTGGCATGCACTGAACACACCCTCTGGGGACCTCCTTTCTTCCCCAGTCCCAGGCCGAACCTGCACCCACACACTCGTTCCCAGAGAACGCCTGAGGCAGCAGTGTGACTGGGAAATGAGGCAGGAACATGCATTCATTCATCCTCTGAACAGATGTTAGATGAGAATCTCTAAGTGCCCGGGGCCGAGCCACGTGCTGAGCATGGAGGACGGACTAAAGCAGGATACGTGAACAGCAGAGCATGTCATAACTCTGTGCCTGGGTCCGCCCGCGGGTGCCCACACGGGGATCCTACCATGTCGTGGCTGTGTGGGCGTGGGCAGGTCACCTTCCCTCGCTGGGCCTCAGACTGCCCAGAGGGAGAGGACAGCGCCCACTGCAGGCTGCGGGCAGAGCGGGTGAGCTTGTCGCTGCCTGCGGCAGGGCCTGGCATATCTGTGCGCTCCCAGATGTGGCTTCCTGTTATTGACCTGGCGAGGCAGCCTGAGCTGCACAAGCAGAGAAGTGTGACAAGTGGTGTGCAAACTGCAGGGTGCAAAGGAAGACCATGTCGTGGACTCGGGGGTGGAGGGAAGGGCATGGCCAGGGGCGGGCTCGGCCTGGTTAAAGGCCTGGAGCAAGGTGTACAGAGATTCCTGGTGCCCAGTCAGGAAAGTCTTGCCTGGGGAGGGAGGTCAGGCCAGAAAACATCCAGGTGTATGTTCTAGAAATGGGTTGAGAGGAGCCTGAAGACACAGGCTCAGGGGGAGGCAGCTTGGGGGCGCCATCCCGGAATTAACCTAGGCCAGAGGTTTCTTTACAGACATTTGCAGGTGGGAACCATGTCTCAGCCTGCCAAGGCCTCCACAACAGCTGCAGCGAACCCAGGGCCGGATAGCAAGGGGAAGGGGGCCCCGCCCGCAGGCCTGGCCCCAGGTCCCGGCTCCGCCCCGGCCCCAGCATCTGTGCCCATGCCCACTGCCAAAGTGGGGGACCTGCCCCCTGGGAGCTACCGGGTAAGAACCTGGGGGCGGGGTGTCTGGGCTCCACCCTGAGCTTCCTCCCACCTCCTGCCAGCCTCTGACCTCCACAAGCACGTGCTCTGAGTTTGTGAAAGCAAGAAACGAAAGAGGCGAACAGAGAGGGCTGACTTAGCAACAGAAACCACCTGTCCCCGGGGGGCCTCTAGGGCAGCGGCATGGCCTCAGACCCTCCTGGAAAGTGTCCCAAGCAGCGGCTGAGACCGCAAGGACCCCTGGAGAGCAGAGACTCCTGCGGTCGCGTTGGGTTTTGATGTCAGGCGCACAGCTGGTTCCCCACCCTTGGTTCCTGACACTCTCTCACGTGGCCCCCTCATGGCCGGCTTTCACTGTGTCGTTACTTACCGAGTCGTACGTTTTTTGTTTAATTTTGACACACACCTACAAACCACCACCCCTATGGGAAGTCAGGACCTGGTAGAAATCCTGTAACTCTGAAATGTCCCCCAGGAGCCCGCCGCCCTCCTCCCTACTCAAGGCAACTGCCATCCTCGCCTGGTCCTTCACCAGCCTGCTTGCTTTTTATGTGTTTGTAGGCGTTCGTCCTGTAAAAGCATTTATGTGTTGTTTACGTGTTTTTAACTTATTGAAATACACCGTATGTCATCATTCGGGGTTTTTCCTCTTTGCTCTTCACTCATTCTGAGACCGCTGATAGTCACCCACGTGGCGGCTGTGCGTTGCTGCGGGCCACTCGTGTGGAATTTCAGGGTGACCGTCACTCCCGGGGACAATTTGGGTGGTTGCGAGCCTTGCTTGGATGAACTGCATGGACAGGGCGTTCTTATCTCTGTATCCTGGCGCAGGAGTTTCTTGAGTGGATAAGTGCTAAGTCAAGGAGATGTGAACCTCCTCCTTTGACATCTGGGGAAACTGAGGCTCAGAGAAAAAAGACACTTGAAGGTTCAAGAGAATGACCAGGTTTGCCCAACTTGGGACACCAAGTGGATAATAAAACTAGGGGCTTAGTGAGGGGAGGGAAGTAGCCGTGTTCACACAGGGGCCCCTGATTCTGGGCCCCCCTACCTTGTGCCGGGTAGATGGGCAAGTATTTCCTGAGCATCAGCTCTGTGGCAGGGCTGGGCTGTGGCTGGAGATACAGCAATGGGCCAACCCCACGCCCTGCCCTGGAGGAGCCCTTGGACTTCGGAGGGTTTGAGCAAAGAGGGAGAGGGGTGCATAGGGAGAGACCCAGAAGGAATCAGTGTGGCTGTGTAGTGTGTTACTTGTTCTGCTGATGGAGTGAGCACAGTAGGGGGGCCCCACCAAGCCCACCTAAGGGGAGGGCATCAGAGGAGGCTTCCTGGAGGAGGTGGTGTCTGAGCCCAAGACAGGACAGCTCCGGGATGGGGACGTGTGGTGGAGAAGGCATCCCAGGCAGAAGAAACCCTAGCACAGATGAAGGCCTGGAAGGAAGACCCAGCAGTTCCTAACAATGGTGCAGATCTTGAGTCGAGAAGTGGAGGGAGAAACAACTGAGTCATTCCACAGACCGTGGTTCATGCACACGCTCATGTGACCTGTGCATGACCCACTTTCACTTACACCGAGAACTAATGAATCTTTGACCCGGAGCCTCCCCACTCACTCTGCCCCGCCCCCGCCCCTCTCCCGGGCTTGGGGCTTCTCTCCTCCAGCTGGTGGTCTTTGAGCAGGAGAACTTCCAGGGCCATCGGGTGGAATTCTCCGGGGAGTGCTCGAACCTGGGAGACCGCGGCTTCGACCGAGTGCGCAGCCTCATCGTCATCTCTGGACCGTGAGTGTCAGGCTGGGGAGGAACAGCTTGCTGTCGGAGCAAAATAATAATAAATCAGCAGTAGTGGCCATTTGCTAGGCACCTGCTCTGTGCCTGCCTGCATGCCAGCAGACACAGATACCATTTCTAGTGCTCACTTCAAAACCATTTTACAGATGAGAAAACAGAGGCTCGGGGAGGTGATTGGATCATCATAATGCCAGGCTGACAGCAAGTCATGATTCTGGGCTCCAGAGAAATGCTGCTTCTACTATAGAAGGAGCCCTGCCCGTCGCTGAGGGCAGGAGACCGAAGGGCCAGTGTCTATGAGCCCTCTCCTCTCCTGACATCAAGCACCTATAGAATAGTAATAAGTATCTGTTGAGCACCCACTAAGTGCTAGGCACAGACTGCGGGCTTTACCTAGATGATTGTACAATGCTGTATGAGGGAGGAGCTTTCTTGTGCCCATTTGACAGATGGGTGAACTGAGGCTCAGAGATTAAGTCCTTTGGCCAAAGTCACCTACTGGCAAGTGGCAGAGCCTGGATTCAACTCCAGTTGATCAGTTTCATCCACAATGCTTTTTATCACCTGCTCCATGGCCTGCCCCGACTCTCTGGGCTTCGTTGGGCCTCAATGAGCCTTATATGAAGCAAGAATAATTGTCCCTTGGACATAGTGGCTGCACCAGCTCCAGCCCCTGTGGACTGGAGTCAGAATACACAACAAGAGCCACTTGGCCCACTTGTTGCTTGTCTCCCCAGCTCAAAACCCCCAAGGGGTATAGTCAGCTGGTAGGTATGCCCAGCATCCTGAAGCTTTTTGCACTACAAAGAGCAGAGATGGGCTTTGAGCTCAGAGAGGCCTGGGTTTGAGCCCCAACTCCCCTAGACCTTGCTCAATCTCCACACCTGTTCCCTCATCTCTGAAATGGAGAAACAAGCGCGCCCCACTAACCTCCACTGAGCTATCCTGGGCCCCGAAGGTGATACTGTAGTTTGCATCTGGCACTTGGGGGGCCCCCAGACATGGCAGGTGACAGGGATGATTAGTAGCCTTCCCCATTGCCCGGTGAGTTTCGCTGAGTCATCCTGGTTGAGGGTAGAGGTTGGGCACATTTCTATATACTGAAACCACCCCCACTACCAGTATGGTCAACACGGCCTTAGCCCCACCCCTGTTCCCAAAACCCAGCTGGGAACAGAAGCTGCCGGATGTGGCCAGTTTGGGTTCTTAGGGTTCTTTCAGCGCTAGTGACTCAAACCCAAAGTATTTCTCTTCAAACAAAGATGCAGCTGGTCTTCGGTGTGTGTCCTGGGGCTGGGCTTGATGGAGAGAGGTAAGGACCGTGGTCCAGGGCCCTTGATCTGGGTCAGGACCAGCGGGGATGTGGGGAAAACAATGGTGGCGAAAAGGCCGGGGGAGGGGGCAGGATTGCAGGGAAAGCGAAGGGGAGGCGTGGCCTCCGCACAGAGGCCTGCTGGCTGGAACCTAGATGTCAACCTGCCACCATCGTGTGACCTTGAACAGGTCACTTAACCCCTCTGAGCCTCAGTTTCCATATCTGTACATTAATATTCCTGCCCTGCCTCTCTCCTTGCTCCCACCGCTCAAAGGAGCCATAGGAGATGAGAAAGGGCAGGGAGATAGATGTTTACGTGTTCTCACCCGTGTGACAGGTCCTCTCTGGTCATTACGAAGAAGACGGGGGAAGTTAGGGGCGGGAGGCAGGGTGGCAAGGCCGCATCCGTATCTGCCTTTCCCTAAGCTCAGACCTCCAGCGGTTTCCCTCCCTCTTCAATGATAAAAGATAGTATTTATTGCGCTTTCTCTGTGCTGGACTTGTTCTGTGCATTCCTTTTTTAGACCCTCATAACATCCTGACCAGGGAGATGCAGTCATTTCCTCTCTTCCTGAGGATTAACGAGTTTAAGTGACTTGCCCAAAGTTACACAAAAAATAAATGAGGAGCTGGGATTAGGGCTCAGGTCTCTGTGTTTTCAGAACCTATGCTCTTAACTCCTACATGGCACCATCTTCCAAGGATCCCTTTCCCATCCACCCATCCATCCATCTATAGATCCATCCATTCATCCATCCATCTTTCCACTTATTCATCCATCTGCTTACCCGTCAACCCATCCATTCTCCATCATTCAGCCTTGAATCATCCATAGATCGATCTATCTATCTATCTATCTATCTATCTATCTATCTATCATCTATCTATTTATTCATCTATTTGCTTATTCTTCCATCCATCCATTCTTCACCATTCAGCCATGTATCCATCCATCAATACACTCATCCAACAATCTACCCATCCATTCATCAAGCACCTACCCACTTATCCATCCGTTCACCCACGCATCCATTCAACCATCTATTATCCATCCATCTATCCATTCATTCACCCATCCATCCATCCTTCTCTTTTTTTTTCACCTTTCTTTTTATTGATTTTATAGAGAGAGGATGGGAGAGGGAGAGAGAGATAGAAACATCGATGAGAGAGAACACTGATTGGCCGCCTCCTGCATGCCCCCCACTGGGGATCAGGCCCACAACCTGGGCATGTGCCCTGACTGAGAATCAAACCAGTGACCTCTTGGCGCATGGGTTGACGCTTAACCTCTGAGCCACACTGGCCACACACCAATTCCTGAGTGTCTGCCGTAAGCCAGGTCAGTCTCTACCAAACGTACGATTCAATCATCTGCATCAATTTCCCCCTTACCTTGAGGACGACTTTGATTTAATATATTTCATTTAAAATGACCCTTTTTTATTTTTTGTTAATCCTCACCTAAGGATATTTTTCCATTGATTTTTAGAGAAAGTGGAGGGGAGGGTGGGAGGGAGAGAAAGAGAGAGACACGTCGATGTGAGAGAAACACACTGATCGGTTGCCTCCTGCACAACCTCACCCGGGGCCAGAGATTGAACCCGAAACCCAGGTAGGTGCCCTTGACTGGAATCAAACCTGCAACCCTTTGGTCCTCGGGCCAATGCTCTAAGCACTGAGTAAAACTGGCCAGGGCTCAAATGACCCTTTTTAACAGAAATAAATATATTTTCAAAGAACCTTTTCATCATTTTTACAGCTGGAAAGGTGGTATCACTTGCTGGAAATAAAAGGCGCCCATAAAAAGGTAACACAATGAACACAGAGCAGCGCCATTGTACTGTTGCCTCCTCAAGGCTCCGTGCTAGTGGCCTGTTGTTCCTTTGTCACAAAGAGAGATTAGTGTGGAGGGCACACTGGGGCATCCGATGGAGACTTTCTCCTCGCTGTCATCAGGTTAAAAGCATCTTCTTTTGTGTTATTTTACACCAGGTCCTCCTAGTACTCAAATCAGGTGTGAACTCTACATCTGGGGAAATCTTTGCTCACTTAATTGCACAGTTTGGCTCATTTAATCCTTCGCCAACTCCAGGAAAATAGGTGTATTAGATGAAGAAACTAAGGCTCAGAGAGGTGAAGCCACTTGCCTATGGCCACACAGCCAATAAGTGGCATAGACTACAATCAAACCACGGGCCTTGGGGCTACCTTGCAAGGGGGTGAGAGGCTGCTGTTCACAATTTCTCTCCTTCTGCCGTTGCCCCTCCTGGCCCTCCTCACCCTCCCCATCTCTCTCACATCCAGCTGGGTCGCCTTTGAACAGTCCAACTTCCAGGGGGAGATGTTCGTCCTGGAGAAAGGCGAGTACCCGCGCTGGGACACCTGGTCCAGCAGCCACCGCAGCGACCGGCTCATGTCCTTCCGCCCCATCAGGATGGTGAGTGGCTCCTGGACAGGGCCCGGGGGACCAGTGGGGAGGGCCGGGGTAAGTTTGCGGTCTGACATCAAGCAAGGAAATGGGGTGAACAAGGAGAAGGAGGGAATCTGGTAGGCAAGAAAGCACAGCAATCTGAGTTGTCCAAGGACAGTGGGCTCTCGTGTTCATAGATTCGTAAGGCGCCTCTGATGTGCCAACCCCGGGGAGGGGCCCCGGGCAAATGAGAACCTAAAACTCATGCGTTTCCTTCCCTGCTGCTGTCAAGAGTGGACTCGACCCCCCAGTTGTTGGAGCTGGAAACTTCAGCGCCTTCCTTGATTCTATGTGCGGAATGTTTCTAACTCCTGGCTGCACAGTAGACCATCCTGGGGGGCTTTGAGAACCCCAGTGTCCATTCAAAACATCCCGCATGCAGGGTGGAGCCCGTGCAGTGTCTGAGAAGAGGGGTGCTGTGGAAAGACCCCTGGAACTTCTCAGTGACAATATCCTGAAGCAGCCCCTTTATGTTATTTATTTATTTATTTAAATTTTTTTTTTCCTTTATTGATTTTAGAGAGAGAGGAAGGGAGAGGGAGAGAGACATAGAAACACTGATGAGAGAGAGCATTGATTGGCCCCCTCCTGCATGTCCCCCACTGGGGATTTGGCCCACAACCTGGGCATGTGCCCTGACTGGGAATCGAACTGGCGACCTCTTGGTGCATGGGTCAATGTTCAATCACTGAGCCACACTGGCCGGACTCCTTTATAATATTTAACTAAGTTAAATAGTGTGACTTAAAGAAGACAAAGGCAAGACAAGTGGAGGTATCCCTAAGCAATTCAGTTTCCCCAGAAGTGTATTGATTACGACTCATGAACCAACCACATCTTCCCTCTCCAGTGTCAGATTCCCATGGTAACGAACTTTGGCCTTCCTAGGTGGGAATTTTCCTGAAGAGTTTTTATGAATGTCCACTTGAGGTCAGCAGGTGCCAACAGCCAGCTGTTGGGCACCACCACACTTACCTGAATAGATTATCCAACCAGGCTATTACCAATGTTTTTCTCAAAATTTGAGGCTGAATGATCAACCATTATAATAGACCCTTTGTAAGAATTCATAGATTTATTCTTCTGTCATTGAGGGGTCTTTGGGTGGCAATCCATGTCAAGGAGCTTGGTCGGAAGAGCCATCAGTCAGAGCATTTCCGGTAGTTTCTACAGCTTTGCTGTTCAATACAGTTGGCAGTAGGTGTATGTGGCTGTTGAACTTGAATTTGGGCTAGTACAACTGGACATGTGCCGTGAATGTAACATACACACCACACCAGATTTTGAATACACAGTAAAAAAGCAAACTATGAATGTAAATGATCTCATTAGCATTGTTATATTAGTTACAAATTGAGATAATACTTTGGATGTATTTCCTTAAATCAAGTATATTTCCAGAAAAAAATCCCAGTGCCTGGACCCTCCCCAGGCCATTGAAATCTAAATGTCTGGGGCTGGGGCTCAGGCACTACTCTCTTTTTCATGCCCCCAGGTAGACCAGGGCTGAGAGCCACTGGTCTGGTTTAATGTGTCCCCTATTCCTGCCTCCATCCTCCCATGGGCCACCTTTATTTTGTCCCTGGACAGCTCCAGCTCCCTCCCTGCTGAGTTCCCGGACTCCTTTCCAGACTCCTTTCCTGGGAAGTTAGAAGAATCTCTAACCCAACTATCTTCCACTTATAGTCATGCCTTCAAGCACTCTCAGTTGATCTATTTCTGCTAGGCTCTAGGTGCAACTCTGCACGGGCCAGGCAAGGCCCCTGACATTATGGGAGGCAGTTGTTGGAACCTAATTACAGATATCAGTCTATTACGGCAAAGCACCGTGGTGTGTGCTGCACAGCGAGCGTGCAGTGTGCTAGCAGAAGAGAGGAACTGGGGTCCCGATGTTGGGAGGAAGCAGTCAGGGGGTGACGAGGGAGGACAGCTCCTGAAGGATGGGAACCGGAATGGAGCCAGCCACGTGAAGCATGGCGGAGCAGCCTTCCAGGGAACAGTGAGTGCAAAGTTTCTGAAGCTACGAGGACTGGTGTCAGCAAGAAACTAAAAATCCACCAACGTGGCTATTACACAGGGAGTGGAAAGGAGAGGGGTACCAAATGGGATGGGAGAAATCAAATGCTTCTCTGAAAGGCCCTGCCCCTTGCTGGCTGTGTGACATTAATCAAGAACCCACTTCTCTGAGCCTCTGCATCCTAACTACAGTAATAAAAATAATGAATACATTTTTTTTTGTGGTACGTGCCCCTAGCAGGAACCGAACCCGGGACTCTCTGGTCCACAGGCCGACGCTCAACCACTGAGCCAAACTGGCCGGGGCATGAATACACTTTTTTGAGTGTATGCTAGGCATCATGCTAAGTGCTCTATGTGGATTATCTCATTGAATCCTCACGACAACTCCATGAAGCAGAGGCTGGTCGCCTGTTTTCCCAGGGGAGGAGGGCCCTTCCAGGACGGACAGCAGATCCTGGGAGAGTCCCACGGTGGCCCGAGCAGACTCAGCTCTCTCTTCATACCCAGGAGGCCCGATAAGTTACTTCTCTGCCCTGTTCTACTTCCCATGCTGGACCCAGCCTCTCCTCCCCCAGGACTCCCAGGAGCACAAGCTCTGCCTGTTTGAAGGAGCCAACTTCAAGGGCAACACCATGGAGATCCAGGAGGACGATGTGCCCAGTCTCTGGGTCCACGGCTTCTGTGACCGCGTGGGCAGTGCGAGGGTCTCCAGTGGAACGTAAGTATCCTCCTGCCAGGCCCTCAGCCAGACCTGGAGTCTGTGCCCTTCAGAGGATATAACATCAGAGGCAAAGGAAAGGCCGGAGCCCCTCCCCGATTCCTCGGGCACCAGTAGCTGGAGTTCCACCCACAGGGCTCTGTTCCTCATTCTTTGCTGAATTACGTGCCAGTGTAAACAAACCTGACAATGGGATCTAAAAAGCTGGAAGGTGGAGAGAATAGGGGCTTCTAAACCCACATTGCGATGAAAGAATAATTAAGTAGGGAGGGCAGAGTTGATGCGGATCAATGAGTCTAGACGGGTCCAGGGAAAGAGACTGGGTCACGAAAGGGTCTTGGCTCTGTCACTGATGTGCTGTGAAACCCGGGTGAGCCCCGTGGCCCTCCCTGCGTCTCAGCGTTGCCATCTATACAATAGGCACACCAAACTCCTTGATATAAACGGGCTCTTTCTGCTCTGAACTCTCAGGATTTGAAACATTCAAAACAAAGCCCCGTGATCCCATGTGTATGAGAAAACAGGAGGCCTGGATGTCCAAAGGTCATTTTACCCATCCCTCGTCTCCCAACAATCATGCCAATCACCCCTGGTCTCCTCTAGGCAAATGCAAGCTTCTACCTCTCCACCACAGACTCTTGCTGAGCTCCTGTAGTACCGTCAGGGCCCTGGCCTTTTTCTCGTTCCTTTCTTCTTCCCTGAAACCCGTACCCTGCACACTGGGGAGGTGGAGGCGAATAAGGCTCGGTTCCTGCCTTCAGGGGCCTCACTCAGCCTAGCAGGGAGACCCAAGTACATCTGGGAGATGATGTCCAGCAACACTAAGTAAGAGATGGTCCGCACAGGAGGTCAGAGGAGGAAGGACGGTTTCTAGGGGTGTGTGCTGGAGCGGAGGACAGGTCGGAGGCTGATCTGAGGCTAGAACTCAAACCAGACTTTGCGAGGTGACCACTGCACTTTCTGGAGGAGACCGCACAGGCAAACAGAACTGGCTGGTCCAGGCAGAGGTCTGGATGCAGGCAGTGAGGCTGTCCTTGCCTCTCTCGCAGCTGGGTAGGCTATCAGTATCCCGGCTACCGCGGGTACCAGTACCTCCTGGAGCCTGGGGACTTCCGGCACTGGAACGAGTGGGGAGCCTTCCAGCCGCAGATGCAGGCGGTGCGCCGCCTGCGTGACAAGCAGTGGCATCGGGAGGGCTGCTTCCCCGTCCCGGCTGCGGAGCCCTCCAAGTGAGTCCACACTCCCCCGTTTCTCCCTCCTCTCATCCGTTCCTCAGGCTCCATTTCCCCGTCTTTCTCCTGCAAATAAAAGTTCCTAAAGCCAAAATGTCGCCTGGGCCTGTGAACAGATTTGCGCCTGGAGATCCCACATCATCGCCGGCATGGGGCTTTCTCAGTCTGAATAATGAAAACAGCCAGCGCTGCAAAGTCCTCTACACGTATTCTCTTGGCATGTCTTTTGAGCTACTCTGGGAGACTGGTATTATAATTATTCCCATTTAACAAGTAAGGAACTTGAGGCTCAGAGAGGGAAAGTGACTTGCCCAAGGTCACACAGCGATCGAGTGGCCAACTGAACCCAGACAGTCTGGCTCCAGAGCCACACTCCCAAACAAATCTGTGTTTCAAACTCTATTCCTTCATGCACCAGTCTCATGATTTTTTTCGCCCTCTCTACTTACCACCTGCTTTGTTATTTACAGTATGTTTTATTGAAATAGACTTACTGTTTTGCACTTAAAGGCATTGATTTGTAAATAAGACTTTATAACGCTACAGGAAGTGGAAAATCAGCATCGTATGCCATAGATAGAAAGCAATTTTATAAATACATACAATTTTAAGAAGACCAAGTATAGAATTCTCAGCAGACACCGCTGCCTTTGGGAGGCTCCAAGCCTGCAGCTGCTCACCCTTTTGACAAAATGGGTCATTGACAGGTGTCAGAGGTACGAAAAACATGCTTGCACCAAACTGAGACTTTTCTTCCGGACTCTATCGAAGAAGATTGAAAAGAGCGTTATTGTCTTTCATCTGACTCTGTGATGGTTAATCCTGCATCCCCATTCCACCTAGAACAGCTCTCCTGCTCCAAACGCTACTCGTCCTGCTTTTTGGGAATCTGTGCCCGGCAATATTGACTCCCATGTTGTCAGTTAGCATTGATCGATGCTATTAACCTTTAATCCATGCAGGAAGCCTGGGGGAGGTGTTGCCATGGTTATCTTTGTGGAGGAGGGGGTATTTGAAGGAGGCCTTGAAGGATGGAGCAGGAGCTTGCTTAGTGGAGAAGGGGGAGGGGGAGGACATTACAGGCGGAGCAAACAGCAGGGTCCCTGGTAATGATTAAAAAGGTGCCTTTTGTCCGGTCAGTGTAGAGCAGGGCACTGAGCATAGTCCCTTGGACTGAGAGGTCCTGGTTCAATTCCCGGTCACGGTGCATACCCAGGTTGCGGGCTCAATCCCCAGTAGGGGGCGTGCAGGAGGCAGTCGATCAATGTTTCTCTCTCTCTCTCTCTCTCTCTCTCTCTCTCTCTCTCCAAAAAATCAATAAAATATATATTTTTTGAAAAGGTGCTTTTTCTTCAAGACATTGGACGGCCACCTGCCAGAAACAATTGGTATACATCTGTCACGCCCACAGTGTGAACGTGGCCCCCCTGTGCTGGGCTCTCTTTGCACGACGGTACCCGGGACCCCTGGAGCACCATCGCAAAGGCACACGGTGCGGAGTGCTGGCGGTGGGTCCAGGCGGAGCTTAGTGAGCTTGGTGTGGGCAGAAGTGGGGGGTAGGAAGCGGGTGCTGAGTGTGGCAGGAGACGAAGCCGGGCAGAAAAGTGGGGCCTCACGACACCCACTCTGTGGCTTTGCCGAGCTTCACAGTTGAGGCCTACCTGACACGGGAGGTCTTTCCCTCAGGAGCACGTGCCCCCCCCCCCCCCCGCCCCCAGCTCTCCCACCCTCCACTCTCCAAGCTGCCCAGCATCTCGTGTTGGAAGAAAGGTTGTCCTGTCCTAGCCTAGAAGATGGGATTTCTGGGCGCGAGTCAGGAGATACCTGTATTAGCGCTGCTCTATGGTTAGAAGCTGCAGTGCCTGAAAAATCATGTCTGTTCCCTGGGATGCACGCTTCTCATCTGTGAGGTGACAGCTCCAGTGGCCATCCAGCCCCAAGGTTCTGACGCTGGGATTCTACGGTTCCAAAATGCCGTGCTTCTCCAAGATTCCGTCATTTATCTCTAAGCGGCCACTGTTCTTTGATTTCCAAAATCAAGCCACATAGATTCCCATCCTCAGTGCCTAACGTTGGTGAATGCAGCGCTGACATTCTCCTGTAGTAGAGCCACAGTCATGAGCCACACAAACGCAACGTCCACATTTCCACAATGCTAAGACCTCACTGATGGCAAGACGTGCCATGATTTTATGACCCAAGAAAGGCAAAGAGAAATACTATCCATTCAAAAAAACTGCTTTCTTATCACTTAAGATTTGTATTCCATTCATATTGAAAAACGATATGGGCCTTATTTGGACATGTTTTTTGTTTTGTTTTTGTTTTTGTTTTTTCAGTGTATCCATCTTGGGAGTCCTATAAAAGGAAAATATAATAGAAATTCATCAGTTAAGTTCGTCCCCAAACTTCTTTACATCCACTCTTAGTCTAGATCTGGATGAACTTTGGCTCAAAGTTGTCAATATCATTATTTTCTCATGGGGGTTATATGAAAAAAACTGTGCACATTAGCATCACTGAAACATGATATGTACACTTGGCAACACAAACAAAATCTGGAAGAAAACAACCAAGTGATTACTTTATATTGAATTTAGTGTTTTATCAATACATTTATTTAACTTCGGTTAACAAATTTATGAATAAACAAAACATGTTGTAATTAAAAAGAAAAACCACACAGAAAAGTGATTAAAATTACAAGCAAAAATACATAACAAAGATAAAAAGAACCAAGCGAAAGAAAAGAACGTAAAAGAGCCAGGAGCCGGTGAGACGTGAGAGTGGTAAATGTGCGGTTCCTTCTGTGGGTCCCAGCTCCGGCTTGCTTCTGGAAATGTGAGCCTCTCATCTCCCAGGGCAGAATTTCAGCTCTTAAAGATAAGTCACATTTTTTGCCTCAAAACCGAAACTTCAAGTTTCTACTTGATCAGGTGCTCAGTGGAAGAAAGGATGACGGGTACCACGCTAGAGGTGACCAATGGAGCTGAACCTGACGGAGGAGCCAGACTGCTCATAACCTTCTCAGGGCCTCCTCGGTGCTGGTTTCCACCCTGCGTGAGTTTTGCCCTAAACACAGGCCTCAGAATGCAATGCCTGGGCAATTGGAATGTCACTGGGTTTTACTGCTAGATCCCAGCTCATGGGTCTTTGAGTCACAGGCCTTTGAAAAGACAAAGCATGTTGATTATGGGACATCATCTGCCATCCATAGTAACAGGAGGCAACCCACAGTCTTTTGGGCTTTGAGGCGTGGACATAAACCCAGTGATGTGCGTTTGAGGGGCAGGGTGGGGGCAGACCACCCAGAGGCATGATCTCTTTTGTGACAGCACCAAATGCTGATGGACACACAGCAACTGAGTTTTGGGAAAAGGACATGGTGTCAGGGTGCCCCGAGGAAGTTCTAGAGAGGTGAGCGTCTCTTAGAGCCATGTTGCCATGACAGCCAGTCACCTGGATAAGATACCCAACATCAGAGTGTTTTGTGAAGCCTGGATACCCAGCTAAGCTTGGTAAACGTACATCCTTCCAGCAGGAGAAAGAAACCTGTCCCTCTACCTTGGCTTCCTGCCCATTGCTGGGTCACTGCTTCCTCCTCTATAATCAGCTTATAACTCTGCTCTGACATGTACTAGTAACAGCTCTAGATCAAGTTAAATTACCTGATGGAGCCTCTGTTTCCTTACCTGTAGAATGGGAGTAATGATAATAACATGTAGCAGGTTGTGGGAGGGGGTAAATGATCAGCTTGACAATAATACTCATATGGTGCAGAGAGCATAGCTAGCACCTGAATCATCAGCACAAGCGTCATCTTCCCAAATGTCAGAGGAGGAAGTAGTTTTAGAATCAACATGTTTCACCTGGCCAGTGTGGCTCAGTGGACTGAGTGTCGTCCTGTGGACTGAGAGGTCCTGGTTCGATTCCTGGTCAGAGCACATGCCCAGGTTGCGGCTCGATCCCCAGCAGGGGGCGTGCAGGAGGCAGCCGATCGATGTTGATGTTTCTATCTCTCCTTTCCTCTCTCTCTAAAAAAAAAAATCAATAAAAACATATTTTTAGAATCAACATGCCTTATGCCACGGTTATTCTTCCTGCTTTGGACAAATGTTGACTAAGGACAAACCCAACTGCCAGGTTTGTCTAGATGCTGGGGATACAAGGTGGAAGAGAAGATAAGAAGAGGCCCTTCCTAGTTGTTCACAGACTGGAAGAGCAGACAGGAATAAGCTCTTTCTTCTGCCTTCACAGTCACATTAAATTCCTAGGCTGCACGATCCAGTGTCCATGTCCCATCTGGATGCCCTGGGGGGCAGTTAGGCTTCCTCAAGAAGGTAACAGCCAGTTTGAGACCTGAATGGGTTCACTGAATGGGAGGGCTTTGAAAGGATTAGGCCCAACCTAAAAACCAGATCATTCTGGTCCCCCTTCTTCAGCCCCGCAAAATATTTGCCATTCTGTCTTCCCGGCATCTCTGGAACTCGATGCTCCCTCCCTGGGTCAGCCAGCCTTCCCTGTAGTATTTCCACAGCCTTGAAAACATTCTCCCTGCCTGTCTTCTTCCACGCAGCAGCCAGGGGACCTTGGTAGGAAGCAAAGCTAATCTTGTCTTTCCCCTGCTGAATACCCATGTCTGTTGCTCGCTGCAAGATGAAGGCCTGACTTCTTCCCACAGCCCACAAAGCCCTCCAGCAGCCAACCCCTGCAGACTCCTCCGACCTCCTCTCACACCACCTCCCCCCACCGGAAACAAAAGACCTTTGCACCTGTGAGTCCCTGTGACTCTTCTATGACGCCTCATCTCTGTTTCAGGCCTCAGTGTAAACACTCCTGGCCGTCCTTCCTGGACCAGGTTAATACCCCCTGTTCCCAACTCCCCAGTGTTTGTTGGAGGGTCCAGCTACTCCACTTGAACACAGAGCCTTAGTCTTCCTGTTACTTGCTGACTCCCAGGAAATGCCTTATTCAGACTTCTTCCCTTGATCTCTATTTCTCCACCCACAAAGGGACATTATAAAACACCCAGCAGGGCTACTATGCAGTTAGTCATACAAAACCTCTAATACATGCACAATAAACACTATGTATGTTGTCCTATTGATTCCAGACCAGTAAGAGCCGGCTCCATGAAGATAGGGGATTCCCTTTTTCAGTCCCAGCACTTTCTGCATGGCAGGCACTATTTATTGGACACAAGAATAAATTAATGAATGAGCTATGAAAGAACATACCGCTTTCCATAGATAATCACTTAATATCTGTATGCCTTGGTTTTCTTATCTGTAAGGTGGGGATGATAACAGACCCATCACAAGGCTATTAAAGGTTTAAATGCATGAATATATAGTGTTTAGCCCTGGCTGGTTTGGATCAGCTGTTAGAGCATCAGCCCGAGGACCAAGAGTCCAGGATTTGATTCCGGTCAAGGGCATGTACCTCAGTTGCAGTTCAATCCCTGGCCCTGGTTGAGGTCATTCAGGGAGGCAACAGTCGATGTGTCTCTCTCACATCAATGTCTCTGTCTCTGTCTCTCTCTCCCCCCCTTCCCACTCTATCTGAAAAATCAATGGAAAAATATTGTTGGGTGAGGATTAAAAAACAACAAAACAAAAAATAAAGTGTTTAGAGCAATGTCTGGAACTTAGCAGGTAATTTTATATAGAGATATAAAACGTTTGTTGTTATGGTTGTAACTATTACAGATATTTATTTTAAACAAGTAATCTATATGTACAGTAAAAATTAAAAATTTAAACGGAACAAAGAACACAGGTTCACGGTGAAAAGTATGCCAGCACTCCTTTCTCTCTTTCTGTCAGGTATTCAGTGCAGGTGCATTTATGCACAGATAGAGCTATAATGCCATTTTACAGAAGGAGAAACAGAGGCACAGAGAAGTTAAATGTCTTAGACTGAGCTGAGATCTACCAGCTTCCAGTTTCCTTTTATTCACGTATACCAGGCTTTCTCTACCTCAACACAACCTACATTTGAGTGGAGGGAGGGGACTGTCCTGTTCATTGTAGGACATTTAGCAGCATCCCAGGCCTCTATCCGCTAGATGCCAGTATGACAACCACCCCCTCCCAATTATGACAACCAAAAATGTCTTCAGACATTGCATAAAGTCCCTGAGGGTCGGGGAGGGGAGGGCAAAATCGCCTCCTCCTTAACCACGGCTATATTTGAATGTATGTATCAATATTCCCTCCTTCTTTCTTTCTTTGTTTTATACTAACAGTAGCTTAAATGCACGCTGCCCAGGGTCTAGTCTAGTTTCCTTCTCTCACACCACTTCTTGGCGACCATCCCCCTCGCTTCTTATACACAGAAGGTAACTTTCTTAACCAGAGCAGCCTCAGGAGGACAGGTGGTCCGGGGATAAGCCAGCAGTCAGACCCTGGCCGGGGTGGGGGTCAGCTCTCCAGGCCGCCCCGCCCCACCGCGTGGCCCGGAGCGACGGGCGGGGCGGGGCGGAGCCGTGGGCGGAGCCACATCCCGGGCCCGCCCCCGCGCAACGTCACGGCGCCGCGGCCCCGCCCCCGCGCGGGTGTCTCCCCTCCCTCACCCGGCCCGGGCGGCTGGCGAGCCGGGAGTCGCTCGCTGGTCGCACGGGCCGCCTCGCCGCGTCTCCGCACGGTAGGTGGCCCTGGGGCGGCGCGGGGGGCCTGGGTGGCAGCCGTCGGCAAGGGGTCGCCTGCGGATCGGCCTCGGGCCCCGGGGAGCCCTTGGCCCTCGCGGTTTCCTTGGGCCCGGCGGGGCTGCCGGGCTCCGGGGCTGAGAGCAGACAAGGAGGCAGCGCGGGCGGGAGGTTCGAGGATCCCCACACCCGGCGCCCCGAGCGCTTTCCGTGCGGTGCGGCAGAGACCCGGCCCCATTCCCGCGCTTCCCCCGTGTGTGTGTGTGTGTGTGTGTGGCGGGGGGCGGGGAGTTGGGGGAACGCGGCATGTCACCCCCATCCGAGTCCCCGACCCCTCCCCGGCGCGCGGGACCCCCAGGCGGGCGCCGGGACGGGCTGGGGGCGCGTGGAAGTTAACTTGCTGCCGCCGTGGAGTTACAAGGCGTATCAAAAGTGGAGACATTGGGAGGCGGAAATCGCTGGCTGGGGAGGGGCGCGCCCACAGCTTGGAGTAGGGGAAGCCCTCGTGAACTTGGGGGTCACACGGGAGGAGGGGCGAAATTTGGCCGAAGGATCCCAGCGTCCGGCAGCCTTCCCCCGCCTCTCTGAGCTGGACGGAAGGTGCCTTAGGCAGCTGGGACTAGAGTGGCAGCACTGGGGGCATGGTCACCGAGGCTGGTCACCGAGGCTGGGCGCGCTGGACCCTGGCAGAGTCGTCTTCTTTATTTATTGAGCATCTACCATGTGCTGGCACTGTTCTGTGCGCTTGGGGTAGGCATCAGTGAATAAGCAAGACAAAGATACCTGTCCCATGGTAGTTTATAGTCTAACAGGTAGAAACATACAATGTGCATATCTTTTGGAACGTGGGGTGGGGGAACCTTCAACCAGCTACAGCCCCAAGAAGCATGCAATATGTCACCTGAAAGTGTGTGCTCGGCCCGCAGTGCTCACGGATTCGTGCAATCCTCGGTGGGCTTCTGCGAATTGGGCCAAGCAACTTTGGCTGCTGAACATACACGGTGAGCTGAGCTCCAGCCCTGCACATGTGCCAGTGTAGACAAATGGCTAAAAGGAGCGCCTCCTGTCCCACGTTCCACTTTACAAAATGGGTTTACCTCGTTTAACCTTATCAGATCTGAAATCAACCCTCAAAGGAGTTAGACATAAAAGTACTTGGAGACCTAAGAGTACTTAATAAGCAACATGTAAACAAGACACCCTCAATGTCTCAGCTTTGATGGAGTAAGCAAGGGGTGGTGTGAGCGTGAACAAGGATAAATTTTAGCTGGGCTTTGACTGAGGAGAACAAACTTGAGAGGCTCAATGAAGTTAAGGGTGATAAAAATTACCATTTCTCTGGTGGCCCAGCAACTAATAGTGCTGGGTGCTGCTGGTACCTTACCTACTGTGCATTGCCACAGCCAAGGGTAATACTAAAATATGTAACAACCATCTGGCTCAGTGGTTGAGCATTGACCCGTGCACTGAGAGGTCACTGGGTCGATTCCTAGTCAGGGCACATGCCCAGGTTGTTGGCCCAATCCCCAGTGGGGGGCATGTAGGAGGCAGCCAATCGATGTTCTCTCTCATCGATGTTTCTGTCTCTCCCTCTCCCTTGCTCTTTCTCTAAAATAAAATAATAATAAAAAAATAATGTAACAACCAGGAAGGCTCAGACACCAACCTGCCAGAAATGACCCTGGCCACAGCTCTGGACTGGGTCTGCAGGCTCCTGCTGGGTCCGCCAGAGCCCTCGGGCTGCTGATTCTATGGATGTCTGGGCAGAGTCTTTATTATTGGGTGGGACCAAGGTCGAGGTCTGGCTTTCCCACTCAAAGGCCGGTCCCCTCTGGAGGAAGGGTTCAGCAGTCCTTCGAAAGCACTGTGCCTCTAACCTTGCCCCTTCTCCTTTTACAGATGGGGAAACAGGTTTAGAGAGGTCGTGACCCTAGGTCCCGCAGCTAGGTTGTGGCAGGGCTTAAACTCACCCTCAGACTTCCTGACTTCAGGTCCTATAGGGGTGCTGGAGCAGGGGCTGATAAAATCCTAGTCATCCTTCAGAAGCTATCTCAGTAGCACCCCCTCCTGGAAGCCTTCTCTGGCACTCCCCAGGCATTGTTGGGTGCTTCCTGTTTTGAACCCCACAGAGATAGCTGGGCCTTTACCTCCCCAACCTCCTTGCAGGTCTGTTTCCCACACGGGCTGTGGACACCTCTCATATCCTTTCATTCCAGCCGGGTTGCCGGATGGTTACGCCAAGCTTCTGGATTTGGACACATGTAGGCATGGCTCACTGTGGTTTAGTAGTGATGTGGCCTGAGCGAGTCCTTCTTCCTTACCCAGCCTCTGCTTCCACGATGGTAATGTTGGGTCCATTTAGTAACCATTTTACCCCGTCAGACCCCAATTGTTATATTATTTACTTAATATATATGTTTATATCACCTTCTTTTAAAAAACCTCATGTAATTTGTTCTATAGCAGCTTCATTGAGATATCATTCACATACCATATAGTTCATCCTTTTTTTTTTTTTAAGTTTTTTTTTTTCTTTATTGATTTTAGAGAGACAGGAAGTGAGAAGGAGAGAGAGATAGAAACATCGATGAGAGAGATCATCCACTGGCCGCCTCCTGCATGCTCCCCACCGGGGATTTGGCCCACAACCTGGGCAAGTGTCCTGACCAGGAATCGAACCGGCGACCTCTTGGTGCATGGGTCGATGCTCAACCACTGAGCCACACCAGCTGGACCATATAGTTCATTCTTTTAATGTATTCAATTTAGTGGTTTTGGGGGGCTATCTAATCCTAGAATATTTTCATCACTGAAAAAGAAACCCCAGAAACATCAGCAGTCACTGCTCAATCCCTCCTCCCCATCCCCTGGCAATCACGAATTTACTTTCTGTCTGTATTTACCTGTGCTGGACATTTCATGTAAAGTGAATCGTGCATTGTATGAACTTTTGCAACTGGTTCATCCACGTAGCATCAACACTTCCCTTTCTTTTAGTACTTCCTTAGTTTTTATAGCTGAATAGTATTCTATTATATGGCTGTACGGCATTTTATTTATCATGTATCAGTTGATGGACACTTGGGTTATTGCCTCTTTTTGGCCATTATGAATAGTGCTGCTGTGAACCTTCATGTATAAGTGTTTGTAAGGACATATGTTTTCAATTCTCCAGGGTACATCCGTGGGAGTGGAATTGCTGGGTCATATGGTAATCCTTTGTTTAACCTTTTGAGGAACTGCCAAATTGTTTCCCAAAGCAGCTGCGCCCTGTTACATTCCCACCAGCAGCATAGGAGGGTTCCGATAATCTTATATAAATTTAAGTCTTCTCTTAAGCAGTTACGATCTTTGAAATCACTGGCTTTGATGTGCTGGTTATAAATTATTTTCTAATATGCATGAAATTAAGTACCTCATTAGCAGAATAAGGAGTGCCCTGCAGGCCACCAGCAACATCTCGGGGACTATCAGGGGAACAGGTTAAGCCTGCCAAGCACTTAGCCCAAGGTGTGTGCACTTTGTTTCTCTGTGACAGTGACAAACACTTGCTGGGGGTATTCTGCCAGGCTCTGCGTGGGACAGGAGGAGCCAGTGAGGAACCCAGGGGCTCCAGCACCCGCCCTAGGACCCGCACAGAATCCGGCAGTGCCTGTTAGGGACCTGTGGGCAGGACGAAGGAAGGGGTAAGCTGCTTGGACCTTCATACCCCAGGCCAGCGGGGTGAGGGTGGGGTCCCCTTGACAGCGAGACCTTTGGGTTTCCTAGACTTCAACCCACGAGGAAGGCCTGTCCCTTGGCCTCAAAAGGGAATCTAGTCCTGCCTGTGCCCCCTCCAAGCCCCCCATGCCCACTCTAAAGGTAAACTTTCCTCCTGTTGGCCACATGAGTGGCCTTAGTGAGGCACTTGAGACCAGACCTTCTGGCGGCTCTGTGCAGCCTCTTCTGCTTTTATTCATTTGCACGTGCTTTCCCTTCCTTGTGCTTTTTAAATCCTGCGTTTCTGTGCACCAGGAGGGCGGCCTGGGGAAATGGAAACGGGTGAGGAGGCAGGCAAGGGACTGCCCCTCTCTGGGCCTCAGTGTGCCCTGCTGGGGAATGGGCATGGACTGAACCAGAGCGCAGGCAGTAAGGCTGTCATAGGGCACTGTCGATGTGACGTTGTGGATCGATTTGTAGAAAGAGTGGCAGGTTGTGTGTGGCTGGGATTGGTGATTTGGAAGCCCGAGTGTGGACTGGTGGCTGGGATTGGCCGTGAGGCATCGTGGAAGTTGTCTGGGTAGCTCCAGCTCCTGGTCTCCCCACTTTCCACCTCTTCCTACTGCGTGCAAGGCCCCTTGCTCTCTGTGAACACATCAGCCCTGTCTGAGGCCACTCCAGAGAAGGTTCTGGAATGCCCGCCTCCTGACATGCCCCTTCTCGGGTGTCCTCCACCCTGGGCTGTGGCCTGAGGAGGATTCGTGGGAAGTGGAGTAGTTCATTCAGAGCAGCCTGAGAGCTGGGTCAAGCCCCCCAGACTGCAGGAAGGACCTTAGAGGGTAGTGCCTATGTGTCCCGGGGAGTATCTGGGGCTGTCGTCGGGGGAGGAGCTTCATTGACGGGTATCCGGCCTGTTGCCAAGTGACTTCTTGAATCAACCAGACTTTTGACCCAGACTGCTGTGGCAGAGGGCAGGCAGGTGGCCAGAACGCAGGCTCAGTGGTCGCATGCTCAAAGGCTTGAGTCTGGGTTAGAATCCTGCTGCTCCACAGAGGGTTTGTGTGTCTGAGGCCGTTGGCCGCCTTCCCTAGGTGTCACTGTTTTCATCTGCAGCATAGAGAGAGGTACAGATGGGACCCCGCCCCGGGCTTTTTGGACAGGAGGGGGTGGGGGTAAAGTACCTACCCTGCCACCAGGTAAAGTGTGGGGCCCCGGTTCAGATAGCCTCCCTAGACTGGAGCATGTCCCTTTGTGCGCCATCTGTCAAAAGGCAGTAATTATAAATGCATTTTGTGTACTTTAGCTCATTTAATTCTCCCAACAGCCCAATGAGATGGACAGACTGAGGCACAGAGAGGTGAAGTAATTTGCACAAAGTCATCCAGCGAGGAGGTGGGAGAGACAGGATTTAAATCCAGAGTCTACGTTCTTCATTACCATCTCACTCCCTGTGGATACCCTGTCTGAATGCCCAGTGCATAGGGAACACTCAGAAAATGTCAGTTATTTTATAATAATTATTATACATTATGTTGTGAAAGTATGATATATTAATAAGAAACATTCATCTGTGCCCCTCTGTCCACACTCCTTCCTGGGTGGACAGAGCGAGCGGCTCTTGGCTTGTGAAGCCTAGGTCCCTGCCTCTCCCGCCCTCGTGAGCAGGTGGGGGTGGGTAAGAGCTCGGGGGCAGCCGAGTCCCCGCTCTGCTTGCACATCACTGCGTCGTCGCACGGGCAAGCTGCTTCCCCTCTTCGAGACTCGCTTTCCCCTCCTGTGAATTGGGTGTGTTGGGCCTTCACAGAAGCTGCCCGTCGATGGCTTCGACCCACAGGGTGGCTTTGGTTTGGCACCCGTGGTGTTTTATTTTCAATCAAGCCAACAGTCAAATATTTTTAGAGAATAATTCCAATTTCTCACTCTTCTTGGAAACTCAGGAGCTTGGGCCAAACTGGAATGGCCTGAGGCTGCCGCTTAGATGGCCTGGGCTCTCCTGGTGGTCGGAGTCCCCCCTACCCTCCACCGTTACGTGGGTGCCCTGCCTGACCCGAAGGGCCCTCTGGCCCATTGCAGTCTTCAGGGCTCTGAAGACGCCACAGACCTGCCCGATGTCCCTTGAACGAGCACTTCCATTGCTTTAAGAACATCTGTTTAAACCACTGGTTTCCGTGTTCTCCGAGAGTCCTTCCAGCTGTTTCCAGGACACCAGAGGCTCTCTGAGGCCTCCTGTCGCCTTTTCTGCCTCTAAACCCTCGAGGCTTTTAACATACTGGGAGCTGTCCCTGCTCCACACTCCCGGATGAGGAACCCCTGTCTCTGGGCCCCGGGATCCCCCCTTACTGACTTCAGGACCTCAACTAAGCCGCAGCGAGACAGCCGGCCAGCCTCGGAGCCTCTGCTGTGAGCACTGGTGGCATGTGCTTGTGTCCCGACACATCTGCACAGCCGCCGGACCCGTCTCGTACCCCTTCTCTGTCCTCACGAGGACCGCGGAGGCCATCCCATTTCCCGAGGACTGAAGCTCAGAGACACTTTCTCGAGATCACACAGGCCTGATGGAACAGCAGCAGGATTTGAACCCAGGTCTGCCCAACTCCAAAGGCTGCCCACTGGGGTCACCCATCTGTCCCATCACTGCGCAGGCATCCACTGAGTGACGCCCTCTACAGTCTCTGTGTCCCTAGCACCTGGCAGTGGGCCTTGTTCATAGTAAGCACTGGGTACCTACTTGATGAATAGGGACACGTGGGTAACGGGATTTAAGAGGCCTCCCAGCCTCCCTTTTCCTGGAGTGTGCCTTCTGGTGGAGGCATCAGATGAGAAAAGAGGGACCCACATCTCTGACCCGAGGTGCTAAGGTAGGAAGTTGGGTGCAGCACCTCTCAAACTTGAATGCTCACACAGCCCCCAGGGGACCTTGTGAAAGTGCAGATTCAGATTCAGCAGGTTTGGGGCCTTGTGACTGCTTCTGTGGCAGAGCTGAGTAGTTCCAGCAGAGACCGTGTGATCCACAAAACCGAAAATATTATTGGGCCCTTTGCAGAAAGCCTGGCATCCCCTGATACAATCATTCCTTGGCCCCTTAAAGTTATGTTTTGTGGTGTGATGAGTGTAAGGTGGTGATTAAAATAATGATTATAGTTCTGGCCGGTTTGGCTCAGCGGTTAGAGCACCGGCCCGCGGATCAGAGAGACCCGGGTTCAGTTCCTGCTGAGGGCATGTACCTCGGTTGCAGTTTGTCCCTGGCCCCGGTTGGTGTTGTGTGGGTGGCAGCCACTCGATGTGTCTCTCTCACATCGATGTTTCTCTCTCTCTTCCCTCTCCCTCCTGCTCTATCTGAAGATAAATGCAAAAAAATGTCCTCGGGTGAGGATAAAACATAATAATAATAATGATTATAGTTAATATTTGAGTGCTTACTGGGTACTTGGCTCAACTCCATGACAGGTAACACTATTGTGTCCATTTTATGGATGAGAAACCTGGGCTCACAGGGGCCAGGGCACTGGCCCGGAGTGGACTGCGGAGTGGGCGGGGCCCATCGGAGCCAGGTTGCCTCGTCCGTCTTCACAGGAGCTTCTGCCTAGAACTTTTGCACAGAGCACAGCGAGGGTTTTGTTTGGATTTGGATCTATCCAAGGTGTTAGGGTGCCTTCTTTTCTTTGTGTTTTCCCATTTCATCACCTGTAGCCCATGCTGAGTCCTGAGAGGATGCGGGGAATTCACACCCCTCTACATCTGAGAGGTCACACAGGGTGCTAAGCTTTTCGGGGGACACTGGCAAGGGATGATGGGAGACAGCCAGGGAAGGCTTCTGGAGGAGGGTGTACACATTGTGCCAGCAGGAGGTAGCTGGGTGGAGGTCAGGGAGGTTTTCTAGGGGCGGGAACCACAGATGCAGGCTCGGCGGTGTGAGATGCCATGCCTTGCAGGTTCGGTTCTTGGCACAGAGATCGAATACGTTTGTGTGTGTATGCTGAAGGCGAGAGGTCAGGGGTTAAAACTGGAGGCCAGCAGGAGTCAAGTCACAACACAGCCTCAGGTGCCAGGCCAGGGAACCTTGATTTCACCCTGGAGACTGAAAGGGTTTTCCTCTCCAAGTCCCCTCCACTCTGAGGACTGTCAGGACAAAGCCTGTTTGCTGCTGGCTTAATGCTTCTCCCCAGACTTTGTCATTTAACCAAGACCGACTCCTGCGGGGCTCCCCCTGGGCCCCCAGGGTGGGCAGCAGCCTCCGGCCAGGGGCCTAGAGATTGCTTCCTTTGCGTGGATTTCCGCAGCTGCTTTTTATTTATGGCTTGTTTTTCATTTAAGCCAGTGGGTTATAGTTTCCTTTGAAAATATTGAATCTATTTCACACAGATATTAAGTGAGAGAAAAGGTGGATGTAGACAACATCGGGAAGGTGGCTCTCAGCAGGTGCGAATTTGGGGAGCCCCCTGCCAGGAGGTGGGAGCCTGGGAGGGTCAGTGCAGGAGTGACCTGGCACTCAGTGTTCTGCTCTTTTCCTGAGGCTTCGGGGGTCCTGACTGAGGGGCTGGGGTGACCCTGTTCGCTGTGGGGGTGCAGGTGAGGGTGCAGGTTGTAGCTCAGGTCCTGCTGCGGCTGCTCCTCCCCCTGTGTCTGTTTGGGTCTCTATTTTCGTCTTTCTCTGTCTCCTTCCCATCCTTGTCTCCCTGTTTATGTCTCTTTCCCATCTGTGTCTTCCCATCTCTGCCCATGTCTCTCTGGCTCTCTCGGTCTCTGTGTGTCTCTCTTCCTCCCTGCCTCCTGCGCGACTTCCCCTCCCCACCCCCTCCCTCGCACAGGCCAGCAAGCACAGCTCTTCCTTTCTCTTGTGAAAAAATGTGTCCCACTTCCTTTGGCTGTGAGTGACATCCTGCCTCGGCACCTTCGGAGCCCTTCAAGCCCGCTGGAGTGGGAGAGGTCGTAGGCCACTTACCTGTGAAGAGGTGGAGGCTCAAGGGACAGCAGGACCTTCTGAATG